ACTTCTTTGCTTTTTCAAATTCATTTTCTCTTCTTTGAGTCTTTATCTTTATTATAGGAAAAAAAATGACTTCATCCTCACAATCTATTCTAGTGTTCGGGTCAATTTCTCCATTGAGTTCTTCTTCATCTCCTGACGGGGAAGATTTTTTTGAAGAACGTCAAAAAAGGATGAATGCAGTGATGCAACTATTATCACCTGAGAAGATAAAGCCATTCTTTCGACGTCGTAAGAGAAAATATATTAAATGTGATCGTGAGGAGGTAGCCCAACGGCTATTCTAAGATTATTTTGCTGAAAATCCCGTTTTTCCACCCGAGATGTTTCGTAGACGATTTCGTATGCAGCGAGAGTTGTTTGTTCACATTTTAAATGGTGTTAGAGCATATGATGAATGGTTCATCTAGAAGCCTGATGCCCTCGATCGTATGGGTTTCACTCCTATACAGAAGATGACAGTACAATACGTATACTCACATATGAAATTTCAGCAGATCTTTGTGATGAGTACATAAAGATTTCTGAAATGACTACGGTTGAAAGCTTGAAGTGCTTTTGTGATGCTATAATTGCGGTGTATGCAAGGAAACACCAATGCACACAAAAGGAAAAGGACATTACGCGTCTATCACGACCCTGGATTTTTTAACCCAGTGTGTCCTATGATGACCCGAAGCGGATCCAAAATGCGGAAGCAAAACAAAACCAAGTCCTTAGAGATGCACATCATCCCTAAGACACAAGAATGGCCCTTCAAGAAATTTTGAGACTCAGCAGAAACAAAACGAAGACAAGGGTATCAAAACCCTACCAAAAGAAGGACTAAGGGTAAAATGGTCATTTTACCCTAAGAGGAAGGAATTTGATTCCCAATAAGTCGAATGAGATCAAAAACATCCTTTAGTAACTTCACATGAAGTCCCAAGGCCAAAGAAAAAGAAATCCCAAATGAACCCTATCTCGGTTCGAACCAAAACTGACATACTCTCACTAAAACAAGTATATCTTGAGTTAAGAGAAGAATTTGAAACTAAAATTGGTACCATTGGAAAGCTTACTTCAACACGGTCAATTTAGACTCAAGAATGGACCAATTTGGAGGTAAAACGAAGAAGTTACATCAGATTGAAATTGGATGACCAAAACTGAAAACTCTGGAGAACTTGAACCGGTTCAACATTGGCAGTACGCCCAAGCTGAACCAAAATGACACCTTGAACCGGTTCAACTATTCTTGAACCTGTTCAACTTGAACAGAACACCCAAAATGCAGCAGAAACACTATTTTAGCAGAAAAATGAGTTTGCGACACGATTTTCGAGGTCAAGATGACATTTTTCGGAAAAATGTCGTGAAGAAAGTCCCCCTGAAATCATATTTTCTATGTGATAGAGTCGAGAATGGAATTTATTTCCCAAAGAAATTTTCCAAAATGCCCTTAAGCCAAATTTTTCAACAAAAAGGTGAAAGGAATCCATAGGAGGCTAAAAACACAAACGAAAGAGTTTTTCATGAAAACGATCATTCACACAAATGTAAATGGTGATTTTGAGCGCGCGGGAATGGTCCACAGCTATCGAAAATAGTTGAGTCAAAATCCGACCCCCCAAAGGCCAAAAAGGCAAAAATAAACTTGAAATGGAAATTTTGAAATCTAAAATTAACAATTGACTTCAAATGACCGTTTGGCCCTTGGCCATACTTCATACATGATTAATAAGACCCTATGAAAGAATGAAAATAGAATTCCCACACCCAATGCACCCATGGTGAAACAATAACTTGTGATTTTTCAATGTTTTCATAAAATCTCATGAAGTCAAAATTTACATAGGATACAAAATACATGTCATTGGCCTCCGGCCTCATCTCATACATGTCAAATACAAAAAAAAAGGGTGTACTCGTGTATACATTACATAAATGAAATAAAAAATACACATTTTAACAATTAAGACTATAAGTGGCATTCCAAGCCAACCTTTACAAGAATTAAAAACCTTCAAGTCTACAATTATCCAAGCAATGATGAACATCACGAACCATGTCTTCGTACCTGAAACAGCCCCCCAGTAACTTCGGGGTGAGTAAACAAGTTTACTCGTAGAGAATAAGCATGCATAGACTCAATTTTTTACAGATTTTTAGACTAACATGAAACAATTCATAAGGGTTATGCCACCTAACGTCTATATCAAAGGTTAGACTCAGGGAGCATCCTAAGCTACCTTAAAACATTTCTAGCATACATCACATCCTTAATGCAACTCCAAACGACATAAGAGCATGCTAAACAAACAACAAGATAAAGGTTCCTAAAGTTATCAACTTGAAATCTAAGGTACGAAAACAACTAAATATAACCATTTAGCATAATTAGAACTTCTAATATAATGCATCAAGACATAGATTCTCAAAGTTATCAACTTGAAATCTAAAATGCATAAACAATTAAATATAACAATTTAGTATAGATGTACTTAACAACATCAAAATTTACCATGATTCATTGAAATCATAAAACTCGGATGTACTTAACAACATCAAAATCGTCAATAACCAAAACCACGAGTCACAATTAAACATGATTGTCAATTTGCAATTGAATGCGAGATCAAATAGTAGAAGACTTGGACATCTAAGTTTGGAATTCTGCCGAGACCTCAACGGTTATTCTGGGCATTAACCCGCAGGGAAGACCACCCTAAGTGCGCACTATCTCAATTGGGGAGAACTCATACCTCTCGCACTAGAGCCAAACTCTAGCCATGTCACTTGTAACGATAATGTTCCAAGACTCCAAAATAAACCAAATAAGTTCACGACTTATACATAATTTATATAATGCACGAAATCACCTTCCATTCACAAGTAGGTTGAAACCACACAATCCATGCCTTAGAGTTCAAATTCTAAAATGGCATATATAATGTCAATTACAAAGTGTGCAATTCATTACACAAGACTACAATATATTCCATAAAGAAAACATACTCTCATGAATATAAATATAACAACAATGTTATCCAATGCTCAAAACACAACCAAGTGTATACACATTAAGTCCAAGTTCATGATTTGAATATAGAAACAACTTCTAAAACACAAATAGATCCATGGAGCCATTAGATAGAATTTAATTAAACAAGATGATTAAATTTCCTAGATTTCAAATAACCTCAAATTAATATATATTAAGCAACATATCATGGTCTTTACATATATCAAATCAAAAGTGCAAGATGAGCAAGATATCATCAAATAGAATTTAATTAATTTAAATCAATTAAATCTCTAGATTTTCAAAAGTTGTTCAAACGATCCCAATTTAATATATGGCAAGCAACTAGTCATGGTCATACCATATCTCAAGCCTAAAATGGAATACAAGCAAAACACAATTTATTAGAATTTAAATCAAATTAAATCCATTTAATCTCTAGATTTGAAAACTCATTTAAATCACCTCAATTTAATATATATCAAAGATCAAGTCATGGCTATGCCATATATCAAGTCTAAAGTGATTTATATGCAAGCTACAACAAGTCATTATTTCTCAAATTAACAAAAGACATGCATACAACTTATATATCACTACAAAAGCAAGAAATACCCTTAGGTAATAAATTATAACACCCCCTACCTCACTAGAGAAGAGTCTCTCTAGAATCCAAGGCAAATCAACACAAAATGGCAAACCCTTCTAGGGTTATGTAAAGGAGGATAAGGGGAACAAAAACTGTTCCAAGCTTCAAGGTCTAAGGTGAGTGGAAGGCCATCAAAAATCAAGGTCAAGGCCTAAGGTTTCAAGCTCCATCCATTAAGCCTAGGGTTTTCTTGTAAGGAATAAAATGACATAATGTGAAAATGGGTGAGTGGAGGAAATAGAAATCCTCCACTCACTATGTGATCGTACACCATGGTTAAAACACACATCTATGGTCAATTGCACAAAAACCCCTCCTTAAAACCATAATCCTAAAGTGGCCCAAAAATAATTGCAAGACTTAATTTGGTGCATACACTTGTCACTAATCCATGGCTCCTTCCTAGGCTTAATCCTAAGCTTACACTACCATCCAAGCCAGCAAGTGCACCTATCCTAGGTCAATAAGTGGTTAAATCTCCACCCTCCACATGTCATCATCCAAGGTATCAAAGTGTTTCCACACAAATGTCAAAAAGTGGACCAATGAGAGTGTGACACTTGTCACATTTTTCAAAAATTACAAAAAGATCCTTTTTAAAAATATTTTTCAAATTGAATTACAAAATAATCCCTAAGACGAAAAATAATTACTTTATTTAATTACACAAAAACCCCTCAAGTTATGAATATTTACCAAAATATATGCATCCATACCCTTTACAAGAAAAGTAAATACTTAGCATGCTTTTATAAGAAAGTAAAAATACATATAGAATGGAATTTAAATATCGTGGATGCATGCAAAACCGGAATCAAATCTGAACATGAAAAGTGAGGTTATTCTAACAAAGTGATAACTGAGAAAAGACGAAAAGTGAATAGTGTCACAAAAGTGAAAATGTGAAAATGACTCAATCCTCAAAGGAAGTCGTCAATCCAAGGAAAAGTGTCTCAGAAACCATCCCCGAGCACTCAAGATGACACTAAGTGACGAGAAACCGAACTCAGAAAGGAAAGATCAACGGAAAAAAAATATCCGTAAAAATCTGAGAAAAAGAAAGGAAGGAAAATGACTGGGTTATTACAGCGTCTGCTTCGAGAAGAGGAGGATAGAGGCTTCCCAGGTATGCTTTGCTCTATGAATTGTATGCATTAAGAATGGAAGAACTACCTTACAAGGTGGTATGGCATACATAGGGGAAGAAATCATAAGCTTACCTTCATATTGGAGGCGGTTGCATCGAAAAATCTATGGATCTGGCATGCTTTCTTTGGTATGGCTTGTTCAAACAATGACATGAATATCTTAGATCATTCCCTGGTATTCAATAGCCTGATCAATATCACAATGCCTCCGATTAATTACGAGGTAAATGGGCATCGACGTACAATGGAGTATTACCTATTTGATGGTATTTATCCCAAATGGGCAACTTTGATTCTGACCATCCCACACCCAACAACTGGTAAAGAGAAATTGTTTGCTAAAAAACAAGAAGTCGTTAGGAAAGATGTTGAACAAACGTTTGACGTGCTGCAGATCAGGTGGGTTACAACGCAAGGACCCGTGCATTATTGGGATAAAGAAGATCTAAACAAGATAATGAGAACGTGCATCATATTGCATAATATGATCATTGAATATGAAAGTGGACATATTTTGCGATGGACACCTCCGCCGGATGAGGTAATATCCCTTCTACAATACATTCGAAATCCAACAATGTTGGCGGCATACATTTCCGGTCCCTTTAGAAGAATTCGCAATAGAGTGGATAATGCTGATCTCAAGAGACATCTGATGGAACATTTGTAGAATCAATTTGGTGATGAAGATGTTTAAATTTGGTATAATCGAATAAAACGTAATTTTTGTATTATTATGCAAATTAATTAAATTATTATGTAATAAATAAATAAATAAAATTGATAAGTCAAAAAGTACAATTTTTTTTTTAAAATAAATAATTAAATTGTTATGCAAATTAAACGACTCTTTTTATTTATTTAGAAAAAATAATTTTTTTTTAATTAATTAAATTTCGACTATTTTACATTAATTATTTTATTACAATACACATAGAAAAACATACATAATAAACTTTAAATAAATGACATATAATAATTATTTTACACACCATCACACAATATCATTTTTACATATTATATTATTATTTATGCACAAAACTTTGCCTTGTCAGGCACTGCTCAAGCCTCCAAAAGTGTAGTGTCAAGTATATAATATGTAATGGGTCCTGCGAGTGTATATTATGCACGTCAAGCACTTTGCTTCTCCGCAGATATAGATATTATACAAAGTGAGGTTATGCTATTTAAAATAAATTGCCAGCTTGAGTTAAAAAAAACTCCATATCTTACTATTCTATTGCCTCTAATTCTACAATCTACGGGACTAGTATCATAAAAAACATACCGACGTTTAAATTGTGTTGCAATTGAAATATAAAAATTTAAAGGACGAATATATCCAATGGTGTGAGAGAGAGTTTTAGAGTTGATACATATAGAACATTGTACTATTGTAGTCAACTTCATTACTTATTGACTTACAAGTGCTTTGGAGTTGATACTCTGTTTATGTTGACTTATCAGCCACCATGTTGACAATTATAATAAAGCCAAATTTGCATTCATCACACATTATTACAACTCTTGTTAATTACATATTTTCGAATCAAAATAAAAAATTTATGCTTCACATGTTTGGTTGGTCGGAAAATGTAGAAAAATGTGAGGGAGCACTTAACTCTTACAACTACTATCCCAACCTCGTAGGTATATATGCATTACCATTTTTCCTTACCATTTGTTTTCTACAACTTGTTACACCTCAAGTGAAATAATTAAAGTCATTAATAACAAGTAAATCTAACAAGTAGTAAGACCCTTAAAACACCTTTATTCTCATTTTTAGTTGAGCTTAAGGATGTAAATGAACCGAGTCGAGCTTTAGCTTGCTCGGGTTAGGCTCGCCTTGCTCAGAGGAGTGCTTGGGTTCCGCCGAGCTTGGCCAAGCTCCTATATATACATACTTTCAATAAATAAGGCGATCTGAATTAAGACAAATGTATGATGTTCCTTCCATTGTTGACTTCTGAGCTCACCCATCTAACCTCCCATATTCATCATCTCTTTTGTCGATTCCAATCGCGTGCAACTAGGGATGGAGCCAGTATAGGACTGAGGTATACTAGAATTAAGGGTATTGGTGATGGTCCTTTAGGGACAACAAAAAAGCTGTCCCTAAAGACACCCTTTTTGGTGACATTAATCTTAATTTTAGAATGAAATCAAAGAGAAGTTTTTACAAAGGGATATCGTCGTGGGTTCGGAAATGGTTTTGTAGTTCCAAGCCATCAACATACATCCTCATCTTATGAAGAGGCTTCTAGAAAAAGGGTGAAAAATGTTGAAGAAAGATGATGTTTTAATTTTTGAGGATGTTTGGGACAATTTGATGTTAAAGCAGCTAGTAGATACTTTTAGTTCTTGTTTACAAAACTGGAGAATTTGTAATTTCATCATAAGATTAAGAGCTCGTTTGTTGGCACTGTTTTGTGGTGATAATCTATTTTTTTCTTTCTAGAATAATATTGTGGATGTACCTACTTTTTAGTTCCGATGTTTTGATATATAAAGTGGATGTGGTTTAATAGTTTTTCTAAAACAGAAATCCAGTAGAGTAAAAAATAAAAATAAAAATAATAATTAAGTATTAGGGACAGTTTATAACTGTCACAAATTTAATAATAATAATAATAATAAAACCTTATTAGGGACAATACAAATTGTACCTAAATATTGTATTAGGCATGAACGACAAAATTGTCTTTAATATATCAACTATTAGGGACAATAAATACCTCCCTAATAAATCAAAGGGGGACGATCATATTTGGGATAGTAAGACCGTCCTTAAAGGTTGATTTTTTTAGGGACAGATTTGACCATCACTAAAAACCAAATTTCTTGTAGTGACATGTGCCCCCTTGGATTTTTTCCTTTCCTTATATATATATATTCCTATAATATGAATATATATTTTAGAAATGTGTAAAAATGGCCCCGAAAATTTATCATACATTCACTTATGCCTCTTATATATATATATACTCCATAAACGCTAATTTATATGTATTAGTGTACAATGTACCCCAGGAAAAAAATTTCTCGCTCTGTCCTTGATCACAACTATCTCCATCTCTGGTTTCATCACAATATTATTAACGTGGATAGAGCGACAGAAGGAAAGAGAGATTTGGCAGCTTGGATCTCGAGTTCCCTCACAATATTATCAGAGTGGAGAGAGGAGACTGAGAAGTAACCTTGCCGTGTGTTACGGGGCTAAATTACACCACGAATTTTTGCCTCTGTAATGGCACTTGGGGCCACCAAGTCTCAGCCAACACAACAACACAATACACACAGTATAGAAATGTAAAGAAGGCACACACAGTTTACAGGGACAAGCCCCAACCTTTGCTCATATTAAACATATTACAAAGGAACACGAGTTCGTACAAGGAACAACCAAGGCTCACACCCTCTTCTCTCTGTTCCCTCTACAAAGCCCACCTTAGCATTATATAGGTCACTCTCAAAACCCACCTTAGCATTATATAGGTCACTCTCAAAACCGCCCATAACTGCCCACTAAGATGATGGATGACACCCCATCCACCTAGAGTCGTGCTGGCACCCTCTAAATGTGCCAGCACTATAATGCAATTGACAAGCCCAACTGCTAGACTTGTTGGCATGTTCAGCTCATGCCATATAACCATAAGAAGTTACATTCTGCATAGTGGAGGAAACCACCCTTAACCGCCTGTGTGTTGGTCCTCTCAGAATTGTGCCACATGTTTGGGAGGTTACTCAGCACTCCCCCACTTCCCATGATGAGTGGGAAGTACTAGTAACTTCCCCCAACTGACTGAGCCCACTAAGCCACCACCTCTTGTAACCGCAAGTCATGATTTTGTGTTGTCCATGCTCTAGCCACATCTGAGTCAACCTTCTGAACCTAGCCCAAGCCAAATCCACCAATCTGTACCCACATATATATATCTCTGAGTGCACGGCGTGCCAAGCCATGCATGCCCGTGCACACGCTCGGGTGCACACCAAAGTGCACGCCGGCGCACACACTAGTGCCCTTCTTCGCGCGCCATGTTTGAACCCTCATGCGCCCGTGGCTGTACGCCCGCCTGGACGCCCATGCGCACGCCGAGCTAGACGCCCATGCACACGCCGAGCTAGACGCTCGCGCACACTAGGTTGGATGCCTGCCCCCGCACCCACCTGCACGCCCGCACGCGTGTCGCTGCACATTAGCGCGCGTGTCGGTGCCCACTTGTTTGCCCTTCAATATCTTAGATGCTCCCCACTTGTGCAACCACCTTGGAGTGGTGCAACATGTGCCCATGCATGTTGGCTAAGCCCTCTAAGCAAGCCATGCCATAGCCCAACTGATGTGCTCAACAGACCCCCCTAGTATAGTCTTAAGGAAATCCAGCATTTTGACAGGAGTAAACATCACACATGCTTGAGGAGTCATAATGGCCTTTCAGGCCTTTCCCGACATCCAAATTGAGTGTCGTCTGCGCCAACCAGCTTCTATGGACTCAAGGTACCTCCCATAAAGATCCCGAGTCAAAACTCCAAGTTTCACTTTTCGCCATATTTACGAAAGTGCCACTGGGCACCCCCAGTGCACGCCGAGCATCCTTTTAAGCATCTTGTGTGCACGCTGAGCATCTTGTGCACGTTGACAACCCCCTGAGTAATCCTCATGGCTATCTAACCAAAGCCAAAGTATTCCCAAGACATGGCATGGCCTTGAAATGCCCATGTCTTCCCTTGGACAACCGTCAAGGGCCTAACAAACCACCCCCACTAGAAGAAGTCGACGCCCTCGTCGACTTGTCCAAGTACTCCCTTACCTGTTTCTCAAACTGCCATAATGTCACATCCCTTTCCCAACTCGCCTCTGCTTCACTGCATCCTTTCCATTGCACCAAGTAATCAGTTCTGCGATTTTTCTTACTCTGACCCTGGGTCCGGTGAGACAAAATCTTCTCCACCTCCTTGTTAAACTGTAACCGAATAACAGGTGAGGCTCTCTTAGCCTGCTGTCTTGATGTATCTACAGTATCCTCATGAAAAGGCTTGAGGAAACTCACATGAAAAGTAGGATGGACCTTCAGTCTCTCAAGTAACTGTAATCTATAAGCAACATTCCCCACTTTCTTCACAACTTCAAAAGGACCATCATACTTCTGAATCAGCCCTCTATGAACAGTCTTGCTGCTTATCTTCTTCCAAATCTGTGGAGTCAACTTCAACAGAACCTTGTCTCCCACTTGGAACTCTAATGGCCTTCTCCCTTTATCTGCATACTTTTTCATCCTTCTCGCAGCCTTGGCAAGGTTGTTCTGTGCCTCCTCCACCATCTCTTGCATGGAACGGGCATATCGGTATGCTGCAGGGCATCTTCCACCAGTCCTCTACACTGCCACCTCCTGTGGTGTGCGAGGTTGTTGCCCTGTTGCCAACTCAAATGGACTCATTCCTGTTACTGAAGACCTGTGCAAATTATAAGAGAATTGTGCAATGTCTAGCAACTCCAGCCAATTTTTCTGACTTGTAGTGACATAGTGCCTCAGATATTCTTCCAATAACTGGTTCATCCTTTCAGTCTGTCCATCAGTCTGAGGATGGTTTGCTGTGGAGAACTTCAGTTCAGAACCCATCAAGCCAAATAGCACCGTCCAGAACCTTCCCGTAAGTCTGGTG